GGGGCAATGTGAGAGAGATACAGAGCAGGGGGGAAGCTACAGAGCCACCACCCACAAGGAGGAGCTGGCTTCTTTCTGTTGGTTGTAGATGTTTATAACGCTACTGATGAGCACGAGTCTTAAGCTCAGTATTGGGGCCCTAGGCAGAAATAGAGCACAGGGACCTGTCATGTGAGAGGGGAAATGGGAACTTCAGGCCTTCTCCAAGCCACAGCACCAACTGAGACAGACATATGTGGTGATTGTCTTACAGTGTGGAGGTTTCTGAGTGTGAAATGCTCACAAGACATAAGCCTTGTGGTGGTTGAGCCCCTGGGGATGACAAGGGGTACCCAATCTGTGATGAGTGACCTGGCCTCATTAAACCACTAGGGAAGGCTAGAGCTAGGTCTTCTTCAGGGTATGGGGGAGAGATACTTTGTCAGTACTTGTTCTTGGATCATTTTCCAAGGAAACTTCCTTGTGCAAAATGGTGCTTATAGTCCAAGCCAGCAAAGTTATATTTAAAAACACATTCTTGGGGTTGGAGAGATGGCTCAGCAGTTAAAAGCACTTGCTGCTCTTACAGAGGACATACTTTCTGTTCCTCTTACCCACATCAGGGTAGTTTACAACTGCCTATAGCTCTAATCACAAGAGACTCCAACACCTTATTCTGATCTCCAAGGGCTCTGCACCCAAGTGCACCAAGACCCTCAAACCCACACATACATACAAATAACAATTTAAAATAAAGATAAAATCTTTAAAAAATACTTTCTTACGAAATCTAGATTATTGTCTATCCCCAATTATTTGTGACGGTATAAGTTCTCTATGATCTTCTCATGATGATCGAGCTTTTTAAAGGCTCTCATCAGTACTGTAGCTTCTGTTTTTATTCATGGACAAAATTGCTGTCTTGAGTAAAATGCTCCTCATCATAGTCAAAATTCTAGGGTACTTCACAGCAGATGACCCATAACTCTTTCTTTCCTGAATAAACATCACCAGAAGATAATTCTCACATTGCCCAAAGTCCAACATGGTTACCACAATTCAGTGACTTTAAAAAAAACACATCTCAGGATATTGAAATTTCTGGCTATACATTTAACTTTTCAGAAGAAAAAGCTTTCACACATGCAGAAAGATTATTCTTCTACCATGTAACTTCCCAACAAAAACGTTTCGTCTTTGTCTTTAAAAAAAAAGATTTAATCACCAGATTAAGTTATAGAAAGTCTTGATTTTAGGGGGCTAGAAAGGACACTAGACATAAGATCCGTTCTGAATTTAGAAAAGGAAAAAAGATTTGGTGTCAGTCACCAGGAGGCAGCCCTGGAATCCCTGGAATTTTCACACACTGTGTGCACAACTTTCTAAAACCACTACATCCATGAGCCAAAGCAGGAAGACAGAATGGGGCCTCCAGGCCAGTGTGACTTCATTTCCGGGCGGCCTTGTGTTAAACTGTATCTGTCATTACTTCAAATACACAAAGTCTTGAGTCAGTGAAGTAACCCAGAACCAGTGGCAGAGTCTGCATGCTAGCTCTGGCTTCTGATGATGAGACCAGTACCCCATCCCAGGAGTTTCCCTAAAGGACAAAGACTGGCATTTGATACACATTACAGTAATGCCAGAGTTAAACAGAAAAGACTGTATGACGATGCATAACTTTAACACATACATTTTGGAGGCAGATCTGGAAGGGTTAGGATTTCTAGACCAGTGTGGGCTCCACAGAAAGACCTTATTACACACACACACACACACACACACACACACACACACACACACACACACACAACCAAACCAAACAAACAGCAACAACAAAAAAGCAAGATATAGCTAATTGATGGAAAATGAAACCACTCTCCTTTCTCATGGAATTGGTGGCAGCAGCTGAGCTACAAGAGCAGAAGAAGCAATGCCAAATCTTTGTCTAGAACGGCCCTAGTGAGGCTAGAAGCATTGAGAATGACGATTGCTAATGGTGCTGATAATAGTAGTGACCGCTGTAGCTCCTGGGCTACGCAGGTCTTTGCCACCAGTACTTAAGATAGAGTGTGGGTCTTTGTTGTGTGGTATTACAGTTTTGATGTGAAATGCCCTCCATGGGCTGACATGTTTAAACATATCCCTAGCTAGCAGCATTACTTTGGACAGTGTGGGTGGTATCTTTAAGAGTTGGTGCTCTACTACAGGAAGTAGGTGAGTCTTAAGATTATAGCCTGGCCTGCTTCCAGCTCAAGTTCCCATTTTGCTTGTGACTGACAATACAATTGATGCCCTGCTACTGTTGCCACAGCCAGGAGTCCCTGGTTTTCTCACCATGATGGACTGAATCATGAAATAAAATGAAATATTTCTCCCTTAAGTTGCTGCCAGGTATTTTGTTGTGACAATGAGACAGCAGCTGACACATTTGGCTTCTGAAAGAAGGATCGACATGAGAAGAGTCTGGAATTGGGCAGTTCAACTCATTTCTTGCACTGAGCATGGAGGCCAGCCCTGGATGTCCAGAACCTGACCGTGTGACATTAGGACAGTGGACAATGGCCTAATGTTTGAGAGTGTGACAAACGAAGCTGTGGGGTAAGAGCTTATTGGCTGTATGAGGGGAGCGCAGTTCTGTCTCTGTCCTGGGAACTGGGTCAAGACAGCATTGAAATGCTGATCTCTAGAAAGCAAATGGAATCCCAGATCTCAGAGGCTGCAATGAATACAAAGAGCTATCTGAAATGATGGTCCTGATCTGACCACACAACTAAAATGTCACACTGTGCCCATAAGTTTGTAAAAAAGTTTGTATACGACAAATTCTTAAACATGTACTAAAATCAAAAGTGAATGTCAAACCAAAACAGCATATTTGCCAGCCTAGGCTAGCCCCTTCCTGGCACCTTGTAGCTTTTGAGGCTTCTTCTGTGTAGCTGGGTGATACAGAGGTTCATCCTGCCCAAGATGGATGGCAGAGTGGCCCAGTCTGGGTCATCGTCCACAGAGAACCAAAGATATTTAAACTAGCTGATGCTGTCTTACAGTGTCGTTGTGAGAAAGGAAGTGGGATTTTTGAGAAATGCTTTTGTCTATTTTCACTGTGTCATGTTCTCTTTTGTCTCTTTTCTGCATACAGATTTGGCTGTGGTTTCTAAACTGAGTTGATGCTATAGCCTGTGAGTAAAACAACCAACCTTTCAACTGACTGTAATAAGCATGGGTCTAGGTTATTCTTTATGCTCTATTTTTTAAATAACAAGGTAACAAAAGTGGGTATCTTACAAAGAGGCCCATTTAGCTCTCACAGCTTGACACTGGCATCTGCTTCTCTCTGATGAGGCTTCCTTGGCTATTTCCCAATGGTGGCTGACTTCATGGCCAGAAAATGTATAAAGCAGTCACATGACAGTACAGAAAGCCAGGGAAGGACCATGGAGAGATGAGGGTTCTATTCCATAATAATCCTCCTGTGAACACTAACAAAGTCCTAGGAGAACTATCTGTGTCTGCCTAAGGGCATGGGCCCCTGGGACCCATCAACCTCTAGGTTCACCTCCTTAAAGATCCCACAGTTCTTACCATCACTGCTCAAGGGACCATTTTTTAGTGTTCATGAACCTTTGGGGACAAAGCACAGATGACCTATAGCAACATCCCTATCATCTCCTTCCACCTGGTGCTCAGTGGTAAGCTGGGCACAGGACTAGTCTTCTATTTAGTCTGTCCAAATGTTTATCTGTGTACACAGTAAAAACAGAGCTTGTCTCCAAAGTGTGATCTCCTCACTGCACCACAGGAATGAGATTTCATATGCTAACATTTTAAACACTGAATTCCATCAATGATCTCTTCCAAGCCTCCCCTGTTTGTGAACACAGAGGTCAAGGATGGCTGTGCTGATTTGGATGCCAAAAGGTGAAGGAATCAAATATGGCTACTTTGAGTTGCTTGCTCCTTCTCAGAGGGGGTGTTACCCTGCCAGTGTCCCCAACACTCCCTCAGAATGGGTTGAGCTGGCCACTCTGGAGATCTATGGGACAGGCTCACGCAGTGAGGGCAAATGGGGAGTGTCCTGGCAGCCTTTTGTTTCAACTGTTAAAAGTTTCTATTAAAAAAATACTGTTGAATGGAACTAGAACTGCCATGGGATCCAGTCATCTCATTCCTGGGTATGTAACCAAAGAGTCTGAGTACTATAGTGGCCTTTGCGCATGCATATCTGCCCTAGTCCTATTTACATAGCCAAGTCATAGATGGCCTAGATGCCATCGACAGATAAACAGACAAACAAAATGTGCTTTGTTTTATGCAATGGAGCTCTCTTTTCCCACCGCATTCAAACTCCTTCTCCTAATGCAAATGACAATATTTTCAAAAATGACTTTCCTGCTTTTATGATTTTTTTAACCCACTGAATTTAATTAAGGTTGCTTGCATGAGCATTAAGTGGGATTTATTTACCAGAGCCTGGGCAACTCATCACTGACTACAACCCTGAAGAAATGTCGTCATCCTCTTCCCCTCAAACCATGAACTTCCAATAGCTCACAAGCCCCTACCCCACCCATGATAGACTGTTGATGGACTCAGTCTTGGACAACAGCCACAGTGGCTAAGGCATTTTACAGCAATCATTCCTCCATGCAGGGACTTATATTCTTTCTGCCTCCTCCTTTGTAACATTTCCCGCGCCTCAGAGGAGGTAATATAGATGTTTTGTTTAGGACCGAGAGCTCAACAGTCATTTACTCAAGCACTCTGATATTCTCTGACTCTGCATTATCCACCACTCATGCAAAAAGAAGCTTCTCTAATAGGCTGAAAGCACGCTTTTTCATGTGAGCATTTAGAAAAAGATTTCTCCTGAAGTTACTTTCAGAAGGCAAGGTGACAATAACCAACCATCATTAAGTCTTGCTCTGGGAGTTAGTTTTCTTTATTTCTTTCCTACAATGTCATTGAAAGGACAAAAGACAAGTTTATGATTTATTTGAAAAGAGTAAGTATGGGCATTGGTAAATGCTCCCATGATCCCCTGTTTGATAAAACAAGTGTGAGGTAAGGGTGAGAGAGGAGGATGTGCTGTTAGGAGCTGGGAGTCAGAATTAAAGAGTTGAGTTGATCCCAAGGAAATCCAACTTTATTTTTCTTCCTTCTTCCCATAGCCCCCCACGAAGAGTTTATTCATTTTAGAACGTTTTTGTAAAGTGATCCATGTGTTCTTTGAGCCTGATAGTATGCTCAAATGTTCTTCTGGAATGTTTTCTCTTTCTGTTAAAATAATACATTTATTAACTTCATGGAACTAAATTAAATTAGGCTATTCAGTCAGGAAGAATGGCGTGGCTGGACAGGACTTTTACCCAGGAATACGGAAAATGGTAAACATCTCTTACTTTGGCCAGTGTGACCATGGGTAAGTTTGCTTTGTAAGTATCTCCTAGTGCTGCCCCTTGGTGGTTGTGGGACCTTAGGTCAGTCTCTGAACTCTTGGTTGTGGAAGTTTTTTCATCTCTGGGTGGAAGATGATAACACCTAGTTCATACGCTTGCCAGAAGATCTAAGAATAAGTGTGTTCTGAATGCTCCCAAATGAGGAGAGACCAAATGTACAGTTTATGTAAGAGGAAAATCCATCATAGTGGACAAATCAGAACAGCAAAGCGTGATGTCATAGCATTATACTATTTTCAGAGAAACCAAGATGTAGGTGACTGTGTGGGTACTTGGAAGTATGAAGAATGGGAAATAAGAGCTCTAGTTAGAGTTCTCACACTGGCTCTCAAATGACTAACACTGTTCATGTGGGTGCTTTCCCAACAGCCAATGATGTTCCCATCCCACATGGTAAATGAGATACCCAGACACATCGCTCTAGTCTTGACTAGAGTTTTTGTTGTTGCTTTGGGTTTTTATATTGGTGGGGTTAGGTATGCACATGCATGATCACTGTGGTCAGTGCTGACCAATGTCTGTAGATCAAGTGCTAAGTGTCCCTCAGGTCTTATCTTGTGAACATGACAGTCTAATCTTTACTTCTCCTGAGATGTCCACAGACTAACAATCCAGATAAAATTAGGTTTTGCTACACACAAGAAAACATGTAGTCTACAGAACACTGAAATTCATCTACTATTTGAAAGATTTCAAAAAAATTGGCTGTGGGGGTATGAAGAAAGCAAATATTGCAAGCTTTAGCAAGGCAGAGATGCAGCTATAGCATGAAGTTCCCAGGGCTTCAGCTCCTCTCTTGTCTTGCTCAAGGCTTTTGGACTTCTGGGGAGCCTGTCTCAGACAAGCCACTTAACTGTAAGGCTGGTTTATGAGGATACTTTCCATATTTACTGTGCTGTGCTAGGCATTACAATTTGAACATGAAACCAACCTCCTTGGGCTTGTGTGCTGAAACTTGGTCCTCAGATAGTGGTATTATTTTAGGCTGTTCTAAAAAGTTTAGGATGGGGAATAAATGGAGGAAGTAGATCCTAGAGGCATACTCTTTGAAAGTTTTGAACTAGTTCCCAGTTCCCTCTTCCGTTTCCTGCTTGTCTTGGGCAGTTTCCCACATGTGCTGCTGCTACCACAGTACTCTGCCCAGGTACATGAGACTAAGTAGTAATGGACTGAACCTTCTGAAACCCTGAGAAAAATCTCTTTCATCTAAACTGTTTACATCAGATATTCTGTCACAGTGACACAGATATAAGAAACCAGGTTGCTGTGGCTTCAGTGTAAAGCATGTCTCAGTTTATAGCTTAATTGGAAAGACAGGAAAGTGGCAAAGGAGTTTTAGAAGTGCTCTGATTGTGGCAACCTGAGGAGAGAAAGCTGTAACAGTCCAAAGAAGACACATGAAACTGGGGATGATGCTTAGGGCAGAGTTTTGACTGTACATGCTAAGGCCAGCTTTCTGGTTGCAACTCTGACCCTCTGGACTACAGAACTGACTAGTATTCAGTAGCACACTCATGTGACACATTGTGAGGACACCCGACCAAGGGTGCATCACTAGGTGATCCTATGCAAACAACCCAGAGCCAGCAGGTCTATGTTAAGTTCCTTGAAGTTAGGTGCTTGAAATGAGCACAAACTCTGTTAACAGATGGGTGAACAGGAGATGGCTGGAGCTGCTGCTGTAACACAGTACTGTGCTTCATAGTAAACAGCTTTTATAAGTAGGAGGACTGCAGTCTGCAATAATGATGAGTATGGTATAGTATAGTATAGTATAGTATGGTATAGTATAGTATAGCATATGTGGAAATTAGTAACAGCTGCTTATTGTTACTATTGATCACCCTGTGCCATATGTAACTGTGAGTGGCATGCTTATGGCTGGTAGTACAGTAATTTTGTTTACACCAGCATCATCACAAGTATATAAGCAATGCCTTATGTTGTGACACTACCACAGTTGTGACATCACTAGCCAATAGACTATAATCTTATGCACATACATTATTGTGTATGCAGCTGCTACAGAAATGCAGATAGGTGGCACATGGCTGTGCCCTGACACACACAGGACCCCTGCTTTGGTTTGGTCTTGTGTGTAACATAATTTATGTAATTTCAGCACAGCTGTCTGACAACCCACTGTCCCATGCAGGTGGGACCAGGCTTTGCTGTCTGGTGAATGGTGTTAGCATCTCTTCTTGGAATCAGTAGCTACCCTAGAGCACTAAGGAGCACTAAACAGTATCAGGTATGTTTAATCCACTTGAAGAATCTCGGAATTGTCTCCTCCTCACAGAGTTCAATGTGCTGTTGAACACCTTCTGGATTTCAACAGTCAGTGTTACATCGCAACATGGGAAACAACTTAGGTATCTTGTCACAAACAAATCTTCTATGACCCCAAAGAATTGGCAGTTATGAACATTATCCAAAGAAGTCAATTTCCCAAGGTAAGCTTCTGTATGAGGAAGAATCACTTTTTCAGAAAAAAAAACTCTTTAAGCTTCTGGCATTGCTATCTCATGGACTAAGAAGTCCACCTAGCTAGGTGTTATCAGCCTAGACGTTTCCCCCTAAATGACTCTGTTCACTGCTGATGAGGAAGGATGACACCCCCCACAATGGAATATGATTTATCAGACCTGGAGATTTGGTTACAGATGTGAAGAGACACGTGCCCACTCAACTTCTTTGTGGCACTAATTTCAGTAGTCAAGACTGGAAACAATCTGTGCCCATCAGTAGATAGACAGGTAGAGAAAATACAGTGAGTATGGCAAGCAAAGAGGGTAGAGCGAAGCTACCAGGGCCGGGATTTGAAGGGAAACGAAGACAGAGAAGCTCTTTGGAGAATTATTAATCACACTCTGTCATTGTTATTCATCCTTACTGTGGTTCTAGCTCAGTGGTTCTCAACCTAACTAACACTGGGACCCTATAACATAGTTCCTTATGTTGTGGTGGCTCCAATCATAAAATTATTTTTGTTGCTACATCATAACTGTAATGAGTCATAGCATAAATATTTTGGGAGAAAAAGTTTGCCAAAGGGGTTGTGACCCACGGGCTGGGAACCACAGTTCTAGAGGAATCACCAGTCCCAGGGACTGAGACCTTATGATGTGTCCAGCATTAAGCTAATTCCACTCTTCTTCCCAGCAAACACACATATTTTAAGTGTTATAATCTGTTTGTAGGGAGAATGGAGCTTGAAATAGAACTTGTATATATAGGAGAAGGTCACACAGCTGATGAGCGGCAAGCAGGTCATCCACCAGCTCTGCTGCTGGCCTCCTTTCCCTATAAAATTCTCAGACAGCTTGCTGGCCAACTTCTCAGATCTAGAACTCATTTGGAGCTTGTTGACTGAGCACTAAATAGGAATCACAGGCACCTGGAGGTCTTGTTTCCAGACCCCAAGCGCCCTTCTACCAGTTCACTTAGGGCTTAAATTAGTAAACCAGGGTTCATGCTCCATCCAAGGCTTAATTTCCCAGGAATCCCAGGTAAGAAAATGTTTGGCACAAGCTAACATGTTTCTCTAAGTAGCTGTCAGGTCCCAAAGAAACTCTGAACAAATGGCTAACCACGGTGCCTATTAACACAGCAAAGTGCATGCTGGCTTCAGGCTCTCTCAGCATAGTAAGTACCTGTTAGAGTCTATGCTGGTGGCATCCTGGAGGCTCTTTATTCTCACTCCCACCCCCTACCCTGCACTTATCCAGTCTCTGAGCTTTGAGTCACATCCCTACAGCTTCTGTTCCTATCTAACCTTGTCATCTCTGCTACTTGCTTTCTTTGTCCTCCTGGATCTTCTCTCTCTCCGTCCCTCTGCTCTTAACTCCTTCATCCATTCCCCGACCTCTCCTCTCATGGCCTGGTTCAGTCTTCTGGCCAAATTTAGTCCCCTTCTTTCCCTATCTGCTCTGGTCTCTTCCACAGACTTCTGGCTATAGTCTGCCTCATACCTATAATGAAAACCTCCTCAACCATAACTTGGAATTGTCATGTCCTCATTTTTATTAACTATGCTAGATCAACTCCCGAAATGCTAAAATGTCAGACTTAATAGCCTTGAAAGATTATTGTCTTTTGGTAGATTTTTTAATGAACTTTCCACAACACTGAGTGTGCTGGATGGTTTTATACCAACTTAATATAAACTAAAGTCATCTGAGAGAAGAGAACCTCAATTAAGAAAATGCCTACATAAAATCTTTTATTTAATGATTGATGGGGGATGGCCCAGCCCACTATGAGTGGTGCCATCCCTGGGATGGTGATCTGGGGTCTATAAGAAAGCAAACTGAATAAGGCATGGGGATCACAGCAGTAAGCAGGACCCCTCCATGGCTTCTTCATCAGCTCCTGCCTCCAGGTTCCTGCCTTGTTTGAGTTCCTGTTCTGACTTCTTTCAGTGATGGACTATGGATTAGGAAGTGTAAACTAAATAACCCCCTCCCTCTTCAGGTTGCTTTTGGTCATGCTGTTTCATGACAGCAATAGAAAATCTAATGAAGACACTAAGACACTGATCTACAGGGAATTTCTAAGAGGAGCTGTTCTACCTGTCTGTTTCCACTATGGCACACATGCCTGGTGATGCTCCTTCCTAGAAGGACATGTTTACTTGTGACAAATATGTCTGATTTGTGTTAATGGAAGGCAACAGGAGTGCCAAGATGATTCATTTGACCATGAATAGTTGAGGAGAAATAAAAACCCACTAGATTGAAAGGGGGTTTTTCCATGTTTATCTACTTTGGCTAACTTTCAATGGGGCTCTCTCCCTTGGATTTGTTGGATGTCATATGATATTCCAAGGCAAACCGGCTGGTGAATTTTAACAGTAAACTGATTGTGATGAGAAAGTGTGTCTGCAGTATTCATCAAGCCCTTGGGGACTTATTTTCAAGAGGCAAAAAAAAAATCTATGGTTTATTTTCCTAAGGAATTTTGATGGCAGGTAAGATTGATGGAAGTTTCTTTTTGGAGAAGCTATGTGAAGATTTGATAGAAGCAGGAATCTCAGCCAGCAGGGAGGTGGCTTGCTTCTTCCTCTGCTGTCAGGCCCACTCTGCACTGCAGCATCCCTGGCTGAGAAGTGACACTGTAGCAGGGCTGCCAGAGGATTAGACATCATGTAGTACAGCTAGCAGGACATTTGCTGAGTGGTAATCCAGCACATGCTGGCTCTTGGGATTCTGCTCTGAGTACTTGGAGCAGGGCTCTGGTATCCATGTGTTGTCCACACAGGGAGCTGTGTCTTGCTAATTCCTATGATTACAGATATACACCATTGTCATAGTCTGCTTGCTGTTGCTGTGATAAAATGAGGACTGAGAGAAATCTAGGGGAGGAAAGTGTTTATTTGCCTTGCAGGTTATAGTCCATCATTAAGAGAAACCAAGGCAGGAACCTGCAAGACAGAACCTGACCCAGAAGTGTGAAGGGAATGCTGCTGTCTTGGGTGGTCACCCTGCTTTCTTATGTGACCCAGTACCACCTGTCCAAGGGTCTGCTGCCCCTACATCACCCTTTAATCAAGAAAATTTTCCCACAGATGTGCTCACTGGCCAGTCTGATGGAGGTAATTCTTCAGTTAAGTTTTTTTTTTTTTTTTGCTGTTGTTGTTCCCAAGTGACTCTAGTTTGTATCAGGTTAACAAAAGCTAAGAGGCACAAGCACTACAGCTGGTTCATATAGTGCTAAGGATGGAACTCAGGATCTCATACATGCTAGACAAACATCCAACCAGCAGCAGCCCGTGAAGTGTCTCTGGCAGTCAATAAGAATTGGGCCACATTTTCCTCAAAATACTACTTTATCCTCTACTTTATGACTGGAATGTTTAATCTGTTTGCATTTAAAGCAATATCCTAAGATGTACATCTCCACTATGGTTTTCATTCTACATCTGATATATTTTTTATCTTATCCTTCCATCCATTCTTCTTTGTCTTAAATAGACTATTTCAATTATGACATCTTAATTTCTTGTTATTTTTGTAAATTCTGGATTATTTGCTATTTGACTGTTCTAGTATACATTAAACCATGTAGCTTATATTAATAACTTAATTTCAATAGACTACAAAATTTTACTTCAATGTAGCTTATTTCATCCCCTCTAATTTTGTTATTCCTGTCATAAAATAACATTTATATATACACATATACATTATAAAACACAGTTCTATAATTAATGCTTCATGTAATTATTTCCTATCATAACACTCATGTTGTCCAGGGTGTATCAGACAGCAAGCTTAACAAGTCATGGCAATCAAGCCAGTAGGTAGCCATGTCCTTGTTTTGCTCATGCCTTTGAATTGCTCACACGGCCTTTCATTTTAACTTGAAGAAATATAACCTTAGCATTCTGTGAAAAGCCAGCAAGTGACATAATCTCTGTTTTTGTTGACTTAAGAATATATAAACTTTTTGTTCATTTTGTATGGATACTTTTACTGGGTGTAGAACTCTTAATATCAACTTTCTTTCAGCACCTAGGGTTCCATTTTCTCTGGCCTGAATGTGTTCTGATGAGGTACCACCTAGTGATCTCACTGATAAGCCCGCTTATAGACATGTTGTTTTCTCCTTTTGCTCCAAGATTTTCTCATTTATCTAGATTTGTACTTTTTTTAGTTTATTTTATTTGGAGTTTAGTAGGTGTCTTGAATTAGTACTTTAATAATTGAAGTCATATTTTGAAAGTTCTCAGTCATTCTTCAAATGTTTTTCTGTGTCTGCTTCTATAAATCTCATTATACAAGTTGGTGCAGTTGATGATATCTTGTAAGTCTCTGATCACCCCGCCAAACCCTCCTCCACCCCGACACCCCTACCCCTTTCCCTACTTCTTTCATTAGGCTATTCAGAATAGCTCAGTTAATTTGTTTCATGTTCAAGGACTTTTTTTATCACATGAAATCTTCACTTGAAGTCTAATAGTATTATCATTTTGATGATTAAAAATTATACCTCATGACTTTATTTTGTTGTATGTATAGAGTGTGTATATTTACATATATGTGTTTGTATGGGTGCATGTGTATGCAAATGTTTGTGCATGCCTGCTTCTGGAAGCTAAGGATGACGTCAGGTGTCTTTCTTTATTATTCTACACCTTTCATATTGAGGCAGGATCTCCTATTGAACCCAGAAATCACTCTTTTGGCTAGCCTGGATCGCCAGCTTTCTCAAAGGATTCCATGTCTCTGCTTTCCACATGGTAGGATCATAAGTAGGCCACCATGCCTAGCCAGCTTTTATTTGGGGTCTGGGGACCAGACTTCCACGCTTCATGCTTTCATAACAAGTACTTTACCCATGGAATCATCTCTGCAGTCACCTACATTTTCTATGTCTAGCACTTTCTAATTCTTTTTGATATTTATTTGCTGAGACTGAATTCTTTTTTTTTATTTTATTTCCAGTTTAAATT